TTAGAATGGATCTTGAAAGTGCTTGAAAAGTGCTTGATTTTGACTTTGGAAAAGGTGTACGAACCCTGTAGTACGCATCGTAAGAACCCTGAACTTGTGCTTTTTGGAGGGAATATTGTGCTGAAGGTAGGGATGTAAATAAATAATCGACTTATGATTAATTAGTGATTAATGGTTGATTAGATGAAAATTAGTTTCATCTGATTAACAGGTAACGTCCACTAAGAATAAACTTCCTTCTGTGTTGTAGTGTCACTGTCGTTCACTAGAGGGCGTCCCTGTGTATTCTCAAGAAGCTGCTTAACAGTATTTGCAAGAGAAGTAACGCCAGAGCAAAGTGTCCTAGCGCAGAAAAGTGAATCAATCCAGAAGCCAGTCTGGGAATATTTACAACCTTTAATGATTTTAATCATTTTTAGGGCTGCGACTAACGATTTTGTCAGTTTATTAACCTGCCAATCATTTTTTTTTTATTAGTCTATTAATAATATACAGAATTAAACCAGGTGAAACTAAAACTTTTAGACTTGTGGAGAACTGGATAGAGCATACTGAAAGGAGAAAAGTTTTTTTTTTTTAATCTTAAATGCAAAATATTTATATATTTTTCACAATCTTGGTACAATTCCTGCTCTGAGTGGGTCAATCTGTCAGCTAAAGGCATGTTTTAGAGTCTCTATACTCCAATTAACGATTAATCGATTACTAAATTAGTTGATGATTATTTCAATAATCGATTAATCATGATTAATTTGATTAATTGTTTCAGCCCTATTCATTATATTAACGCACTATAAACTGCTTATTTCTCCTTAAAACTTCTAGGTCACCTAAGTAGCGCCCATTTAACAACACGTTACGGCACAAAGTCTCCCCTAACACTGAATGCTGGATTACACTGAAAAACAGACTACATCCCAGTTGCTATCTACTTAGCTGAAATGAAGAGGATGTCAGAGATTCATATTCTGCTTTTTATTCAGAGCTTTAGATCCCCAGACTTTGGAAATTAAAGTGTTTTTACACATTTAATTAATACTTTTTCTTTCAGTTACTCAATAGGTTCCTGTTTTGTTCTTAAACACAAAAAACAGACGTCTTTAAAACACAAGCAGTTTAAGTATATGTAAAAAAAACTTTTTTTGTTTGTTTATTCACTTAGGATTTAATGCAGCTGGAACAATTAATTGTTCTAATCTAATGAACTCTCTTTAATTCTGCATAATTTAAAAAAGAAAATATTTATCTCTCGATGTAATGGGAGAATCATCTGAATACAAGAGAAAACTTATGCTTATTAATTACATGTTAATCAAACAATTAACTCAGTGAATGTTATATTAATTCATTAATAGAAAGTTTCCTTTTGATCAAATCTTTTCTAATATTCCAAACTACAAAATAAGTGATGACTGCAGGTATGATTGATGTTGATATTTTATCGGGTCAATATTAACATCAGTCTTTATTTAAAGCTGCAGTATTAAGGGCTGCTTATCCCCCCGTTGCAGTGTGTCGCAGTTAGCATGTCGCAGGTATGATGCAGACATTTTTGATTTATGCTCCATATTGAAGAGTGGTCTGTGCTTTATTATTCCAAGCCACAATGCCAGAGGGACAATCACGAACTAGCTATGGGTCTAGATACGGCCGAGGCGGTGAGGAAGTGGGGGCAAGTTTGTGCGACAACGGAGCGACATGAGGCCCAAAAAGAGAGGGAATCCAGATGGGAAAAGAGTCCCAGCGTTCTTGCGCACCTTGTTTTACAAACAAAACAATTTGGTAAGGAACCAAACAGGAAATACGCATAGTGTGGAGCGGATGTAGAATTGACCAATCAGATGCCTCCTGTCTGCCGTCACTTGAGGTGCAGCAGAGTGTCTGCGGAGGGGGCGGAGATGTCTCTACGTTCACTGCGATGCAGACGAAGTAGTTTCAAGTATAAATCAGCCTTTAGTATCATATGCCATCATATCGTTATCAGGACATCCTTAACTCTGACAAATGCACTATTAGCTCATTCTTATAGTGGTTACACAATAACTAGAGGGATATCCCACTGTAAGAGTTCCACTTGAAAGCTTCCACCACAGAAACACATTCAATTCAAATAACTTTTTTCTTTTTTTTTTTTATTGAATTGAAAAGTACCCATCACTGCTGAAAACTCACTGATATTTCTGCATTCCTCCTTGG